TTCGCCATAGAAAATTAGTAATTACAGATAAATTCCACAAGTCCTCATACATGCACATGGAATTGGCTAAAATGTTCTACATTTTCCTCATTTGTGAAAAAAAAATTACATTAAGATCGGGCGAAGAGACCGACTTTAAACTGTTTTTCCTACGCCTACATATATCGATTTTCTGACAATGGAATTAAATTTTAAGAGCATCGAATATGAGAGAGACTTCCCCCCTGGCGTGTTGTCGATCAAGGACCTGTAAAATACCGGAGGCGTGTCCAACGCACGGTACATAATTGGAAAAGAGAATTAAAATCTTCGCTGACTAAGGCCAAGGCAACTAAATTTTATGGATAACATCCTCTACAGACTCCAAATCTAATGCTATAGGGCGAAAAAAACAAGGCAGGCCAAAAAAAACTAAATTTTCAAATTTTGACATCTTAAACCTTGTTAAACAAGAAATGATACCTTGTTGTTTACCCCCAAATCAGGCGAAAATTAATGAATGAAAGACCTTTATTGTACATTTGTGCTCTAACAAGCTAAGTACAGGTCATGGATAGACAAGGAAAAGGATACAGCAATTGCACTTAAACTATACATACTAATGTGATCTACTATTTACATGTTCAACTTCTTCTCGCTTCTTGACGCAGTTATAGATGTACGAGCATATGGAACCAATAATACATGATTTGTCAAGTTTCATAAGAAATATGAATTTTTCTACTTCATTTAAATGTCCCAAGCTGGGGACCTTATCTAGTATATAAGAATATAGGGAATCTCTCTCATTACTATATAACGTACAATCGACTACAAAATGATACTCATCCTCAATCTTATCAAATGCGCGCGCTAATGCCGTCTATGAAAATTATTTGCTGTGGTCTAATGGGTGAATGGTGTACACCACGACCTAGATCGTGGATCTAGAAAACAACGATGGTCGACATAGATATATATATTAAGCTGAGTACAAATTTACATAGCTTTTTAAAAATCAATAGTAAGCGTATTCTGGTTTAGTTCATAAACAGTGAATATTGTTTTCAATAGAAGCCGTACATTGTGATCATGATACTATCGCTGTAGTAATTCTATAGATGACGTGGATGTGAAATCATGATATAGTTTGAAAATAGTTGTTCAAAAGTTTCGAAATTTTACGGGCTTAAAGGCATCCAATGTAATTTCAGGAAGGCAAAACAGGAGGTATTCTGGCTAAGAAAAACTATCTGATATTGACATTTACTGCGATTTCTTAGTACATTTTCGACATCATTTCATACATGGAGCGTTTGGAATAGCCCCAAAACAAGCTACGTGAGGTGTTTCTTTGTTTTAGGGTACCACCCATAAATAGCAAGAAGCAGCCTACGATACAAACAGGCAACTGTTTTCTGTCAGCGGCATCACATTTTTGCCTCACATATCAGTATGTTATTGGATAGAATTCATCAACTTACTACATTAAAACAATGAACAGAAAATTTACATTTGAAATCCAATTTCGCCGCCCTGAAATTACATTGGATGCCTCAAATCCCAATTCTATATAGTACATGTAAGAAAATGTCGTGGTTAATAAACAAGATATGTTTGCAGGTATAAATTTCAACTTAGCCCCACCATATCATGCTGAATGACTGCGTTCTAAATAAGATTGATATTGATATCAATTCATTCTAAATGGCAAATCCATGCTCGGCGGACCAAAGGAAAGAAAACCGCCCCTATCAAGCCAAGCAGTACGTAGAGCTTTCTAGGTTAGGCCACAGCAAGTAAATTTTATGGATGACATCCTCCGCAGACTCCAAGTCAAATGCGATGAGCCGAAAAAAACAAAGAAACAAGATTCCTATATTTTCAAATTTAACATCATAAACCTTCAGGTTGTTGAACAAGAAATGGTACCTATATTGTGCTAAGTTTACTGCCAACTACTATAACATCCATCTCTCACTGAAACTTTGAAAAGGTTTCAATTATTGTACAAATGGTTTCGATTCAGTGGGAACATCACATATATACAGCCAGCACCGCATATAAAAGGAATAAAATACATCACCGCATCCAAGTAATTACAGACAAAACATTAAAGGAGAGCCTTGTCTTGCCTCCTCTCTTCATATTTATCTGCCATCCACGTTCCGGCATGGCAACAGACATCTTTGCCCATTTTCGGCATGTTGACCACTGTTATAGAGGGCAAAACAAAATTCTTGCTTTTTCCTCAAAATCAGACGAAAGTTAATGCGCGCGCTGATGTCATCCATAAAAATAACTTGCCGTGGCCTTACATTGGGGGGATTTGGGTCATCGGAATTGCTTTTGGAAGCAGCATCTGTCCCTAGAAGTGCTAATGTTATAAACACGCCGTTAGAGAAGAGATCGATTTACAAGCAGATGTTCCTTACAACCTTTATACTCCAGCCAAACCAACTGGATCGGATGAGTAATTGACGCTTCGAGGGGGGAGGGGGGCGCAGTGGAATGATAGAGTGGGCTCTACGTATAGAAATGAAATGTAGAATAAAACTAGAAAGGTAACATTTGCAAGGCAAATGCATAATGTTTATTTATCATATTAATTACCTTCGCATATTGTTAATTCATACTCAAACACATTCATAAATATGGTCAGACAGGAGACTAAATCCCTCCTGCTATAAAATTGCAACACGATGAAACCCAACACTAGTTACCATGGTGACAGACACAACATTGGTTCAGATCATGGAGGTCACTGGTCGGAGAAGAAGAAGAGGAAGAAGAAACTGAGTAAAAACAATATGTTCTCCTACGGTAAACATAAATATGAGGAAAGACGGTAGGGGGAGGCATAACTAAGTGAAATTTGTATGCTTTTATCGTTAACAAGAAACAAAAGAAAGGGATACTAGGAAAATGGATAAATATTATGGATAAAGCACTGCACAGAATATGCAGGATATTGCATATAGATTATTTCCAAAATCAATATCTCAGTGAGTAATATTCTGATATTGAAAATATTGAAGTGCGACCGATTTTAAAGAGCCCGTTGCATATAAAAGAAAACCATAAAAATCGGAATTACGACGCCTTGCAAAATGTATACAAAGTTATGATTATATGGTGACTTTACGATATACTCGGTAATCAGATTTTTACAAGTGAGAATCCACAAGAGAGCACAATAAACTGGGAGCTTCACGGCACATGGTTACGTTATTACGATCATGCTGTGTTTAATATGCTGGGATAGGAAAGTGTTTCAGACTGGCTCACATTATAATTGGTATTCCATGTAAAAGCAGGCAAATTCAATCATTATAAGCTTTCTTATTCTGTATCCTTCAAGTTATTGCCTTATAGTTTTAGACATAGCTATAGGTTTAGACAACTACCTTTCATAATGTAGATTTTCATCATCATCATGCAGATTTTAGTTATTTTATACTGTGTTTCAATGTTCTTTGATGTTTCTTACGGTAAATTGCAATTATCCTTCGGGCATGTATTTGCAACAAACTTCATTATAAGCTGTTAATATTTGCACTGTCGTTTCGCTGCCCTTTACTATTCTACGTTAACGTTCAATAAAAAGCTGTGCAGTTTATATGTAGATTAGAGATGTTTTAGAGGGCCAACTAAAAAGACAATTCCTTCTAAGAGTATTTCGTCATTAAGAAGCTTTCCAGGCAAATCCAGGGGATTACAAGAACAAAAATGCACTTATCGTTTGTTTTTGTCTTTTTACAGCCTGAACATTAACCCAGGATTTATCCTTGGTGCACTCGAGTCACAATACACGGTGAGTGATAAATTTGAGATTGATGATTTGTAAAAGTACAAAATTTGAACACTGACGACCAATCGGCTGTGCCTGTATGTGCATATGCATGTGCGTGTGCATGTGCATGTTCATGTGTATGTGTGTGTGCATGTGCATGTGCATGTGTATGTGCATGTGCATGTGCATGTACATGTGCATGTGCGTGTGCATGTGCATGTGTGTGTGTGCATGTGCATGTGCATGTGCATGTGCATGTGTATGTATAGTATGCACGTGTGTAAGTCTATGAGTACTTGCATGCAAACCATGAATATAGTAGCCTTACTACTAATAGTTATATGAAGATATTTCCTGCGTTTGTCTTGTGTAATAACCACATTTGATTGAATTGTATTTGCAGTAAGTACTGACAAGGATGGCGAGACGTTACACTATTCCTCTTCTTCTGCTGTTGGCAATGGTGGAACATCCAAGCCTCATGACAACTGCCCAGGGTGTTCCTAGTGACATCACAACAAACAGCAGTTTGGAACTGCAGAATACGACAGTCACTGTGACTAAAATTTCCAACACAACAACCATGCCCAATACCAGTCAACATACCATTCGTGAACACAGTACGAAACTCGCTGACAATGACACAAATTTGAACGAATCAAACAACTCGGTGTCTCTAAACTACAGTGCACAACATAGCGTTGAACTAAATGAAACATCATTGAATTCTAGTCGAGTAGGAAATTATTTTAGCAAAAGTAAACTGAGAGATAAAGAGGTAGAAGGAGCAAGACAGTTCCTTAACAAATTTAGAAACTTATAGAGATGAGGCAAACGGGACAAAAGTATCAAATACGACCTACCAGAAACTAGAATGGAACGGGGGACCAAATACAACGAATAGAGGTGGGTCGAGAACTCCTCAGCCTTTTATTGATAAAATGTCTACAACCATGCCAGAAACAAGTTACAGCCTTGAGGAAGAAAGTTTATCGACAGCCGAACCCACAGAAGGTCACGGTTACATTCTGGTACACAACACGACACAAAGGATTATCTGTGAGTATGACTTTGAAATCGGCTGTTTCCGTTCCAATGACGTCTACAACGGAAGTGACGTAGATCTGGCGGGCATTGTGGTCCTGATCAAAAACGTGACGTCAAGCTTAGCCACCATCGACTGGCGAGACTTCAACATATCCCAACCGTTCCCGGAACCATTTTACGTCTACGTCGAATCCTCAAAGTTCAGCACGGAAGTCAGTCTCACCAAGAAATCCGGCGAATATGTCTTCAAGGGTCTTTTCTCTGGAGAGACATACAACGCTTGCGTTTCATCTGAAAGATGGGTGCAGAGAAATAAAGACTGCACTCCTTGCTGCGGGGAGTTTAAGACAGCGGGGAAAGATGACCATATCTATGGGTGGCCTCTGGTCAACAGGCTGGCTATCGTCATAACAGCATTTCTGTTCATTATCGTGATGTGGGGAGTGGGGACCGCATGTTACTCAAACGACTACACGTTACTGGTGGAGGAATCGGACTTTGCTCAAACTGGTTATTGAGTTCTCAGTATACTGCCTGAACAATAATGTAGGTAAAAAAGGTCTACCCGTGCTATGTACTGAGCATAGGGTTTGGTGCCCATGTCCATTTCCGTAGCCCTTGGGCGACACACAATTGTGCAGGGCACTACAGCAGGGGGCTGGTCCGCTGGTAGTGCTGTGTGCTTGACCTTCCCACATTCTTTCTCATATGTGCTGAGTGCTAAGCAGAGAAAGAAGTGTGTACCATTTTAAAAGTCTTTGGTATTTGGTATGACCCGGCCGGGTTTGAACTCACGACCCCCCGGTTACAAAGCGAGCACTCTACCAATTGAGCTATTGCACCGGTCATATAATGTACGTAGCAGACTTTGAAACTGTCACTGTGCAGCAGACCAAACTTAAAGAGCCGTGGGTAAAATTTTGGATTGTATCGAGAACTGGACGGGTCCGGTCTGGTGCACATGGTTTTCGAACTGCAGAGGAATAAAGAGACGTATTGCTGAGGGAAATTTCGGTGTGTTCACGTACTCGTACAACCAAGCTGGTGTGTTACGCCGAGTGTCGGTTATACCACCGGCTATAAAGATACAGATACAGAACCAACGGTCGGAGTTACCGGCTTGGTTAGCGAACACACGTGGCGAACCGCATATATCATTTATGCAAAAGAAAAGCTAAATAAAAGTCTGGCCGCAATACTAAATGAAAGTATTTATGAAAAGTTGCATTGGAGGTCAAACTTTGTATATCTGCTGAGAATGATGATAGTAATGATGATGTACTTGTCGGTTGCCACTCTCACTTTGGACCATCCAGTTACATGTCATAGTGTTCTTTCATGACAAATTGAGGCAAAGGCGGTAAAGAATCACCATCTTCCAACGGTCTCATAGTCTGCCGAGAGTTGAGAATGATGTGCAAAGTAGCCACCACGTCGGCAGAGCGTACTGCGCCTGCGAGAAATCAAAATTGTTTCTTTTTTTGTTGGAAATTTTGGTCAAAATTTTTGGATGTTTGGTCAATGTTGCAGAATTTTGCCGTCAAAATTGTTCAAGGCTTTCGTTGGATGTTTGGTCAACGTTGCATCAGAATTTTGCCGTTACAGACAACATCTTTTCCGACATTCAACATTTGAAAACTTTAGACGGATTTTTATCCGTAAGTGCGGGAATACAACCTTAAACGAAACGTTTTGCCGAAGTGCTGTACGCAATAAATTACAGGTTTCGCGCAAATAAAAATTCTGAAAAGGCGCAGTACATTCTGCCGATCCGCTGCCAGAACAATGCAAGTATGATGTGAAAAGATACCTCAGACATCAAATGTCACCCTGCCAGTTATGCACATAACATCGTACGGTTTTTACTGTGACGAAATAAGGAAGCGTACCTTTCTACTGTTTGCAAAAAGGATAGTAAATAATACCCAGATATATCTGTTACATATCAGTACCTGTGTTGACTATTGCACATACGACTCTAGGTCACAAGTTATGTGTTGTAAAGAAGGGGTGTCAGTGTTGGCTTATGAACAATGGAGATTGATGTTGCTACATACGTTGGCCAATAAATATGTAACACTCCTGTTACTTGCTGTATGTAATTTTCATGCAACAACTAACGCTAAAACAATCACGTCAATAGGACATTTATAAAGTAGAAAATGGGCAATTTGGTAAAACTGATTAAGCTCAGTCATTTGGTGACTGGGAAAAATTGCAATTCTTTACGTTTAGTACAGGTGCAGTAGGTTGTGGATACGTATCTTGGCATGCCAATGTTGTGATATGCTCTGCCTATCTTGAATTTCATTTATTTGTTTTCGGTACATTGTGGGATACGTATCTTGGTATGCCAATGTTGTGATATGCTCTGCCTATCTTGAATCTCATTTATTTGCTTTCGGTACCCTTATATATATTTATATGGTTTCTGGCACATTAGAACTATTCAGTCTTTTTGATGGTCAATGTGGTGTGGTTTCTACCATATATTCTTTCCCATGACTTTTCCGTGACCCTTTGCCATACAGATAGCCGCTGTACATGTAACAGTGTATGAACCTTCGGTAAGTGGCTTCGTGAAGACGCATTATTCATGGTACGTTAACCTCCGGCTATCGTCTGGGGATCTCCCATGTTAGTTCAGCAGGGAGCAGCGTAGGCATTCTAACGTTAACGGCACTCGAGGGTGCAACGAGAGAGTTTTCTGATCCGCCTTCTACGTGAAACGCATACTACGAAGGGCAGATCGTCAGTCGTAGGCGTGAAGGTCTAGGATGTTTGGCCTCTGAGTGTTAACATTAATCGTGGCTCACCTAGTCCACTCTTTGGTATGTACTGGAGCAAGCTTATGATAACATGTGCGTCAAGTTGACGCCTTTATTTTTTTAATTCTAATTATATGGTGCATTTTTTGTTTTCACATCAGCAGGTTACGTTTTTCTGAGTGTCTGCGTGTTGGCACCTTGCAAAGTTTGCTGCAATTCATTATTAAAGCATTGTTTCAATGTAACAGTACAGATAACCAATTCAATACGGTCCTTCTGTTGTCTATGCACTGACCTTTTTGATTTGGAAGGAAAAGAGAAACGTAAACGACATTACTGACGTATTTACGATGTAAGCTGAACGATGATTTTCATACCTAGTGGAAGTAAAAATCAAGGGAGAAATGGAAACACATGAAAACGAAACAGTCCTGCACATTTCACTTAATGTTCACGGTAGCAAAAGTTCACGGTCTGAGAAAAATGGACATGTTCACGCAACTATATATTCACGGTGGGGACAGTTGCAAGGAAAAAGAAAGTCCAGGGATTATTTGTTAACTGTACTGATAAGTTCACGGTACAGAAGTGACAGTGAAAACAGTGAACATAACAGTATAGTGAAAAAAATAAGGAACCAGAACAAGCTGCTAGGAGGACCAAACTCACACCACTTATTTCTGACAGGAAAAGCTATCTGCCACCAAAAAGTCAAGACCATAGCATGTTCAGGACAAAAGATACAAAAACCGGAAGTTCTGCTGCAGTACCAAGGTCATCCACCAGGAGGCTCATATTTGACCTTGACCTTCGTCTTCCTAAGACTTACCAACATACCAAATATCATCATAATCCATAAAGGCGTTCTGAAGTTATGATGACCACAAAGTTGCGGAAACACAGACAGACAGACACACAGACAGACAGACACACAGACAGACACGCCAAAAACAATACCTCCATTTTTCATGGAGGTAATTACAGTATCGTAGCGGTGATGGCGGTATTCTTATCTTTGCCTGCCTTATGCCTTAGGAGAAGATTGCCCAGCCTGTGCGCTAGAGGCAGACTAAATTGGTACATGGCATCCCTGGAGCCACTCTGAGAAACGGACAAGCATTCCCATCGATCGTGAATCAAACCCTGCCGGATTTTCAGTCGCCCTGCAGATGGAGAGTAAAATTCATGGGCTTTGGCCATGGAGGCATTGTTCCCGCAGTCGTGCCAATTACCCATTAAATACGCTTAGTGTTTACGTTACGACAATTTAAAATGATCCTATTATGGATGTAATAGTACGAGTATTGTATATATATGGAATCCATACAAAAAAGTGATATAGACTGAATGTTGTACTAATCCACTTTAATTGATTTAGATATCATACAAATAGTACGTTACGTAATTAACTATTTACACCTACTTTAAAATATGCCTTGTAGCCATACGCAGAATTGAACACATTCAGATTTGCCATTTAAGAATTTTGCTAGGTTCAAAATCTAGTTAAGTTGAGAATATAGATTTATGTGTGGGAAATGTCAAGGAATTCAAAATATTAAATATTTACGGAAACGCCATCTACAGGGGTAAAAATTGCACTCCTGTAAAGTAACATATTCCAGTGTATTCATAAGCATTTTGATTCAGAAACAATGTGTTGCAATAGAAGGCATCTTACATGTCACAATATATGGCGATATGGATTAGTTGCTGTATAGTAGATGACCATATCGGCAACGTAACTAATCTCCTGATAGGATTAACTTACCCTAGATTACTTGGCTAATCTTGTAACTTAGGCCTTGTTCATATGAAACCATCCAAACCGCGATTCGGGTAACTCGCATATTTCACATCTGGTCCACGTGCCATACATTCCTTTCAAACCGTGCCCGATCACGATTCTGCGAAACTGCATTCATTGTTGCTTGATGAAAACACACAAGATCGAGGCGCTTTCAATGTGATTTGGAGCGTTCAGATGGGGTCACTTGAAACCGGCTTCGGGGGAAACCACATGTAAAGCGCCTTCACTGACTTCATATGAACAGGGCCTTATAGAATCCAGAACTAGAAATCTTCCACAAGTAGATGATGTTGAATGTCGTCCGTGTTACACGCCACAGTCAGACCCCACATGACGATCAGCAACAGAGCGAATGTAATACATACGGACACGGCATGTATGATCGACAAAATCGTATCATGCAAGCTTGTATCTTTACAACTCGGCTGAAAATCCACACAGACTACCCCTCTATCACTGATTGCTTCGTTGTGCATGACAGCGACCAAACATACGTTGTAATGTTGGCGTGGTTGCAAACCATTAAATGTGAAGCTGTTGCGGGTGCTGGTGCTTATGTGGTCCCACCTAGAGCCATCAGAGAAATACAGCGACGTTACAACGGTGTCGTTGACGTCTACCGTCGACCAGTGAACGGTTGCGGACGTGCCGATTGTTTCTCCGACTGCCAGCTTCAGTTTTGATTCCTGACAGAAGCGCCCCCTGTACAACGCCGTGCAAGTGCAGGCGAGCCCGCCGTTCCCTGTGGTACACGTGCCGTTGTTCTGACACGCGGCAGTAGAAGAAGATTTACACATTGACCCGTGACTCGTGTAAGTGCTGTGATCATTCTCCCCCGCGCCGGATGAAAGTCCTGACATTTGGGGAAGGCTTACTGCTTCGGTTACGTTAATGAAGTCCAGCAATCTACTCCCCTCCTCAATGTCAACGGCGGCGGCGCTGATGTTCGACCTTGAAGCTCTTTCAGACAGCGACGACTCCAACCTGTGATATTCCTGCGTGTTTTCAGTAATATCTGTAGGATTCTCTTCGACAGGACGAGGAATATTTGTCGAATCCTTTGCCGCTTTTGTGGGTTCGGATGAAACGTGTGTATTGGCGTCATCCGCGGTGAAATTTGTATCGACAGAGGGTTGCAAAGTGCTTCGCATGATGAGTAATTTTGGAATCAATTTAGGTCCATTAGTAGTATCTAACTCTGAGCCCCTTGCCGCCTCCTGCATTGAGCTGCCAATTATCATTAAGCCAGGACTTGTGACATTGTTGCTCCACGACCTTTTGGGAGATGACATATGCGTAGTCTTGCTCCCAAGAGAGTCTTCAGCATCAGAGATCGACATAGCCTTCTTTGAGAAACCAAACTCTTCTGTTGCTTCTTCGTTGCTCTTGACCGTGGCCTTCGTCCAAGCATCAGTTGGAAGGATGGCATCTTCAGGACCATCGCCTTCCATGTTGGCATCGTCAGGCAGTCCTGTCGGTTCTATCGTTACAGTTTCTTCCATTTCCAGTTGTACCTTGTCTGTGGCATCTGCCTCTAGGTTTGCATGAGTTGTTGCAGTAGTTGTGCCATCGAGGTCATTGGTGAGTGGGTCTCCGATGAAGGATTGCCACGAAGAAGCGATGTTTGTTTCGCCCTGGATGGCTGCATCCGTTGGGGATGGTTGACCTGAGAATGGCTGGATGCCGTGCGTATATCGTGGGCTTCCTGTAGGTGCTGCAGTTGCTCCCAACAATTGCTCTAAACTCGTCCACGAAATGACAACAAAGACAGAGCTTGCGTACGCGAACAATTGCATGGTGGCTGATCCGGGATCACGCAAAAGCACGTCTGCAGTTCAGGAGTTCCGCCCTGCCACAGCCAACCCGTGGTGACTCCCAGTGTCGGCTGTAATGAAAACCAGTGCAGGAAGAATAAATGTGCATTAGAACAGATTAAATCATTAATAGCCGCGGCCTGCTCTGATTAACACTGATAAATCAGATGCGATGCGTGCGCCGCATCCTGCTGACTATGATAAAGGTTGGGGGCAATGCCTCGGGCATACATTTAGGCGGATTTGTTAGCTTGCAATCAAGTAGAGAGACATTTTTCTTTTAGTGACGTTTTTCCACCATGTAATTGTGTTAATTGTGTCAACGTTTAGATGTATAATAACTTTGTCAACTGTTAATTGTTTCAATGATTTGATGTATAATAACAAAGTTGAAATGTCGATAAAAATATAATTTTTAGCCTGCTTGTTTCTAACCACTCGTTAGATCTAAAACCTACTCTATTTGAAAATCAAGGCTTCTTCAGCTATGAGCAGAGAACGTTAACCAACTTCCATTGTAACACCATATGAAACTGGCAGGGGGACCCTTTGATAATATATTACAGGCATCGTATGTGCATGTGGTATGCGTAAAACACGTTATGCAGGCACTCGATAGAATGGTATCGCTAGTGGTATAACTTTTGTTAGTGGATTTGGTGTGAAAAAATGATAATAGAACGGAAATCGATGTGTATGTGTTATATAATATGTAGCACAATGTGTTAACTCCCATGTGACACAGGGAATAACTAGGAATATATGTACACAAGACAAAAGAAGCATTTGAATGAGGGACGATGTACATACAAATTACAAATTACTATGCTACCAAATGTCGTGTTTTTAATCGCCTTTACGTCAACGACATTTAACATTCGTCACACGTAAATGTCTCCCATTTGTGTCGTAGCTTCCTGGTTAAATGCCAAACGTTTACATTTAGACTGGCTGCAATTTGTTACAATGTCAGGCTGATGAAGAAATGAGACCCAAAATATGAAAACCTGTCACCGACACAATATCGCAGAGTCCCTGCACAATATCAGAATGATTGGCGCTCTTGGGGGAGGTATGTTGTCAGTATCATTCCACAGAGAGCTGATTCGGATAGTAAAGACATGCATTATTAATCTATATGACGTGGAAATCGGGAGCTCCTATTGGTCGCCCGAGCAACTACGTCACGGGGTCACCTTGTCAGGGATTTCTCCTAATTGGAATCATTACAAATTTAAAGCGTGGTGATGAAATAATGTGAGCAGGCACGTCCTGCATTAGCAAAATGTACCAGTTTTCATAGGCCGTGTTCATGTGAAGTCAGTGAAGGCACTTTACATATGGTTTACCCCGAAGCCGGTTTCAAGTGGCTCCATCTGACCGCTCCAAATCACATTGAAAGCGCCTCGATCCCAAACCACTTCTAGAGGTGGTTTCGAATCGGTTTTCCCGCATCGCGATTTGCGTCTGAACGCAATGTGATTTCAATGTGACTTCGCCTGGTCATGGATTACGGGGTGATATTTCTTTATTTATATGCAATATCAACGGTTACGTGGCAGCAACTTAAAGAGCAGTAATGGTCAAATAATGTGTCCGTTCTAGGGCGAGCTTCATCGCCTACGGCGGGACCACGTCGGTATTCGGCCGAGATACGCTGGGAGGGGGGCACCGGCAAGCAGGTCGTTGACCTCTGACATTAATAACACGCTACCTTGCGTGTTTTCATCAAACAACAATAAATGTAGCTCAAGCGAATTGTGATCGGACAGGGTTTCAAAGGAATGTGTGGCACGTGGACCAGATGTGAGGAATGCGAGTTACCCGAATCGCGGTTTGGATGACATTACATGAACAAGGCTTATAGATGTCTGGGCGCGCATTTTATAACAGACACGCCGTCTCTTGATATACATGCTGTCACGGCAATCTCTTAGCAGATCTTTTTTTGGCAGCAAAGACAGTATCAAATTTGCCAGGCACAATTCATTTGCCAGGCAGTTACCATTTACCACCAGGTAAAAAAAGATACAAGTGTGAAAAAGAGAGCCTGACAAAAACGCATAAAACACGCCAAAACAAGAATTCGGAGATCTCATACCTCCATGAAATATATGAGTTTTTGTCCTTATTAATTATGCAAACGACGTCTACATTTTAACATAATATATGAAAAAAAGTCAAGACCATAGCATGTTCAGGTTAAAAGATACAAAAAACGGAAGTTCTGCTGCAGTACCAAGGTCATCCACCAGGAGGCCCATATTTGACCTTGACCTTTGTCTTTCCAAAACTTACCAACATACCAAATATTATCTGAATCTGTAAAGGCGTTTTGAAGTTATTCTGACCAAAAAGTTTCGGAAACACACACACACACACACACACACACACACACACACATACACAGACGCGCCAAAAACAATACCTCCATTTTTCATGGAGGTAAAAATATTATTTAAGCAGAAGCCTAAACCTATACTTGGAGAGTACCGCCATAGGCGCTGAGGTTGATTCACTGCATGTATACACATGGCAAACAGGTGCACATTATATTCAAGACAGGTGTCTTATGCAGCTAGGCATGAAATACAGTCGAAATTAGGGGAGGAATTGATGACTATATCGGACAGTGATTGATTTGAAAGCAAGTGTTAACAATACATTTGTTGAAGTGAGCCGGAAAACAAGATGGAAATGTGAGTCGAGAAGCGTATACGTAGAAAGGAGTGCAATTTCTAGTTGCAATCAGAGATGCCGCGAATTCATCAAGGTATATCTTAATGCGTGACAAAATGAATCAAGGAGAGACAATCAGCATGAAAGTTCATCTGAGTTGGTAAATTACATTATGAAAAATGTTAAACTGTTCTCCAACTCATAAATTTGACTCACCGAAATTTTCGACTGAATCACTCAGTCTTCCTCAGCTATCTGACCAAAATGCTGTGGACACGTGGGCACTTCAACCATCGCTCAACCGGGACGGGGGGCGATATCGACTTCAGACAACCTTTGACCCTTTGCTGACGTCACACGTGGGAAAAATCATTTGGATCAGATAGCTGAGGAAGACAGTGATTCAGTCGAAAATTCCAGTGAGTCAAATTTGAGTTGGAGAACAGTTTAACATTTTTCATAAGAAGAGACAATAATAATTTCCAAGCAGATCCCTTTCGGTGGCAAAAAGACAGTATCAAATTGGCCAGGCAGTATCCATTGGCCAGAGAAGGTCGCCGGCCACCGACAAAAAGGCCATATATAGAAAGCTAATGATCATTTCCCCACAACCTCTGCTTGGAGAGTAAGACAATACAAGACACGACGGGAATACGCCCCCCACTTCCCTACACACAGTCTCATTTATAAGGTGCTGGAATCTTGCCATGAACTTCGAGTATAAAACTGTGATAAGATTGTCTGATAAAATGCACGAGATGTACAATGTCAAATGTACCAGAAAATTGACTTTTCTTTCACGGTGAAAAGATGACTTTGTGCTATGGCTGATACTGCCGTTTGATATTAATAGAATTTGCCTGACTAGATTCATCACTGAAATGATTTTCTGTTCAGCTCTTTTTTTCATCTGTATCTCACTGTAACAGAAAGTAAACTACAGCTGCGGTGCCAACAATGTACAAGATGGAAAATCTGACAGAGATCACCACTGTACGTCCCGTCTAAAATAAACCATACAGAGTGCGGAAACGATCCGCCCCCTAATCTCTAAGCAGATTCTGTGGGACAATGGTCTATATGGCCGCCTGTATCCATTGGCCTCCTGTACCCATTGTCCGCCCCAACTAGCCAAGTTGATACTGTCTTGCCAAATAGCTATATATATATAGAGAGAGAGAGATGCCTTGAATGTGGCAAGGGGAAATTCTCCTATAGAGGTCCTATCCTCTGGAACAGGCTGCCACATGATATAAGACCGGCCCGTCCATGTCCAATTTTAAAATGAGATGTAAAAATTGGCCTGACCTCTGACCCCTCCTTACAGACAATTTGGACTGGACAATGACTAGACAGGAAAATTTGTACTTTTTGTTATTATCATTATTTATTCATGTTATTGGTTACTTACTGTTTTTCCTTTATTATTATTGCCATTATCATTATTTCTTCTATCCCTATTTTATTTACTGTTTGTATATGACTGTTGTGTTTTGTTTGTAAAACAGGGCCCCATTGAAAAGAAGTGTAATCACTCAATGGGCCACTCTGTATAAAGATGACGGAAAATAAAAATAAATAAATAAATAAAATAAAGAGATACCGTATTGCAGTCACCTAAAGATCTGCTTATACATTACCATCCCCCAATACACATCCCTGACGAACTTACTTACTCTGTATCAGTCTTTCTACCCTCTTTTACGGGGTTGAGGGACACTTACTAGATCAGTACAGCTCTAACTTCTCAGTAAGGTACACGCATCAAAGAGGATGTATGAGACTTAAGGGATGTGCATCAGTCCAGTCTGTCTAGCCCAGAAAAGTCCCCGGAGTTAGGACCTTTCCTAAAGTTGCGACTGTAACTCAGGATCTATCTTTTATCTGCCTTGCGGCCTGCCACAACATTATAGGCCTTGATGAAAGTCGTAAGATTTGCACTCAGACAATAACGCATTGCGGTGTCAAAGCTCGAACATGGCGCCGAGATGAAGGTCTGACTGTCGATAACAGCCGAACCCTGAGTATGGCCGACAGCCAACAGTCAGTCATGTTCGCTGTGGTAAGGGTAGGAGAGTGACAGGGATGAGCGATAAGCATGTAGAAGAGTCTTACACGATATTGAGTGACGACAAGGTGCCAGATCTAGCACTGCACTGTAACCAGCCTGCTCAGTATACTATACTATACTATACTATGCTATGCCATGCTATGCTATGTTATGCTCTGTTCTGCTCTGCTCTGCTCTGCTCTGCTCTGCTCTACTCTACTCTGCTCTGCTCTGCTCTGCTCTACTCTACTCTACTCTACTCTACTCTACTCTACTCTACTCTACTCTACTCTACACTACACTACACTACACTATGTTGTACTATATTATACTATACTATGCTATGTTA